GTTGACGGAGGGTTTGACAATGTATGGAAGAGGACTGATGGTTAGACAATTCTCACCAAATGGTAGCTGTCATCATTACTATTATTTCCATACCATATAGGAAGTAATTCATGCTCTGTTTGGCCAGAAACCAGAGTTTCTTTCCTGTCTCACAGGTTCTGATCATGTGCCTCTGTCTCCCTCCACACCCTGGCCCACAGGTTTCCTCTCTGGGAGTCACGACCTTTAGCCTCTGTGCCCTGGGCATTGACCGCTTCCATGTGGCCACCAGCACCCTGCCCAAGGTGAGGCCCATTGAGCGGTGCCAGTCAATCCTGGCCAAGCTGGCTGTCATCTGGGTGGGCTCCATGACTCTGGCAGTGCCCGAGCTCCTGCTGTGGCAGCTGGTACAGGAGCCAGCCCCCACCACGGGCACTGTGGACTCGTGCATCATGAAACCCTCAGCCAGCCTGCCCGAGTCCCTTTACTCCCTGGTAATGACCTATCAGAACGCCCGCATGTGGTGGTACTTTGGCTGCTACTTCTGCCTGCCCATCCTCTTCACGGTCACCTGCCAGCTGGTGACGTGGCGGGTTCGGGGCCCGCCGGGTAGGAAGCCAGAGTGCCGGGCAGGTAAACACGAGCAGTGTGAGAGCCAGCTCAACAGCACCGTGGTGGGCCTGACCGTGGTCTACGCCTTCTGCACCCTCCCGGAGAACGTCTGCAACATTGTGGTGGCCTATCTCTCCACTGAGCTCACCCGCCAGACCCTGGACCTTCTGGGCCTCATCAACCAGTTCTCCACCTTCTTCAAAGGCGCCATCACCCCGGTGCTCCTCCTGTGCATCTGCAGGCCGCTGGGCCAGGCCTTCCTGGACTGTTGCTGCTGCTGCTGCTGCGAGGAGTGCGGGGCCTCAGAGGCCTCGACCGCGGGGGGCTCGGACAGCAAGCTCAAGACCGAGGTGTCCTCCTCCATCTACTTCCACAAGCCCAAGGAGTCCCCCCCACTCCTGCCCCTGGGCACACCTTGCTGAGGCCAGGCCCCGGTGGGGATGGGGGCACAGGAGGAGGGGTGGAGCAGGCAGGGAGGGGCACCACCCCAGCCGGAGCCGAGCCTGCTGTTTCTTTCCCACAGGTCTTGCTTTTCTGCCCATCTTGCTGTCTAGACATGGACCTGGCTCCTCTTGACAAGGTTGGGGGTGTCAAACCTCTTTTCCCAAGCAGGGCCTTCCATGTTGCTCTGAGGGGCCTTCTAGCCCTGTCCCTTCCACGGGTGGGCGGTGATGCTCCTAGGTCCTTAGAGCTGCCCCAAATCGCTGTCCCACCACTTGGGAGCCTGAACTTGGCCTTCCCTACCTTGGTTGCAGCTTGTTTCCTTTCTCTGCCTTGGAACCTGACTATATGGTGGTTGAATCTCCCCAAGCGTCATCTCCTCATCCCCCGACCCAGGGACCCACCCTGGAATGGGGGGTTCCGCCTGACCAGCCTCAGTACCCTTTTCTCTGGACTGAATCTGTCCCTGCCATGGACACCTCCTCCCTTCTTTCAGAAGATTTCTCTCTCCTCCCTCGTCCTTTCTCTGAGGTACCCCGGGTGGCCCTCTCCAAACCTCTCTCCTTAGGTACTTTCCTATAGAAGGCCCTTCTTGAAAATAAACCAGGTAGAACTCAACCCTGTGCCCCCTGAACTTTTTGTGCCATGTCCTGGCAGTGTCCCAATTCATCTGGCCCTTCCCCAGGCCTGGGCAGCGTCTTGGGGGCATTCCTCCTGACCACCTTGGGTCCTGGCCTGTGGCTGCTGCCTGGCCCTGGGGCTCTGAGAGCATCTGACTTTTGAGAAACAAGGATGGAGGTCTTGGGGAGGAGGAGAACTGAGCCTTCATCCTGGCCTAGACCCAGAGTCCCTGGGAAGTCAAAAGGCTGCCAACTTATCTCCTCTGGAGCCCCCCTCTGGTTTCCCTCTCTTCACAAAGCCCCCATTCGAGGGAATCCATGGCCTCCCCTCTCTTCATTGCGGGGCTTCCCAGCCTTTCTCGCTCTGAGAGCGGCTCTTGTTCGATTTCTTAGAACGGACTGTTTTGCCCGTAGACGGCCCAGCTGCCTGTCCCCTGCCTGCCCCCACCCCACCCCCACTGCACCCTTCCTGCCAGGGCTGCATGCTATGTCCCCAACAGACCCTGCAGCTCCTCCTGTTGGTCCCCGTCCCTGAGGTTAGCTTCCCCCAGCTCGGCCTCTGGTCCTTCCGGAGGGTCCTGAGCCTTGCTGCCCCCTGAGGAGCTGGCAGGCCATCAACCAGAAGTCATGCTCCACCTCGGCCACCAACGCTCTCTGCCAGATAGGCTCAGCTTCCTCCTCCCCTGCCTAAAGCTCAGCTCTGGGTCCGACCAGACAGTCCGGTCTGCCAGGCCACCTGGAACCCCCATCTGAATGGAGCCTAGGATGATAGAGGCCAGGGGCTTCTGGTGGCCCCGGCCCCATTCTCCTCTCTCCAGCCACCCACACCCTTGGCCTCAGCCTGCCCAGTGCCCAAGCTTCCCCCCACCTCTGGAGATCTTAACTGCCTTGTTCTTACTCCCTGGCACCCACCCCTGGGGCTGCTGATGCCGCCAGGAGAGCGAGGCTGTTGCTAGGCAATGGTACTGCCATGTGCACACCATTTGTGCCGGGGATGACACCCACCCAGTTTTCAGCAGACCTGTTGCCACAGTGACGGGAACCCCCAGCTTTGTAGAAACTTTAGATGGGGGGTGGACTGGGGGCCAAAGGCGGGGGGGGGTGCTGGAAGCTGCCAGGGGTGCTTCCTCCCCGTTCCCCCACAATCCCTTCTCCACCCCAGCCCCCCACTCCTAACACCAATAGCTTCCTAAGGGAGGCAGGGGCGGGGGCGGGTGAACTGAGGTGAAGTCCGGGACAGGGGCAGGGCTGAGGCTAGAAGGCTCGGGGTGGGGGGCACCTCAACATCCTGTTTGGGGGCACTTCTCCACAAAGGATCCCCTTGGCCCCTCCCTCCTGCGGGCTGGCCTGCTCAGAGATGCAGGGGGTGAGGTGGTGGCTGGAAGCCCCTGCCACTGCCGCTGCCTCCGCGGCCTGCCAACATGAATGGCTTGCAGAATTAGTCAGCAGGCTGGCCTGCCTTGGGAAAGAGCCACTGTCCCTCCAGCCTGGGCCAGCTAGGGAACAATGTGGGGTTTGTTGCTTAGGGGTCCCAGGCTTGCAGTGGGGGAAGGCACTGGGGTGGGCGGTAGACTTGAGCTGGGGTCCTCAGAGGAGGTGTGACACTTACCTCCGAGGGCAGCCCTCAGCCCCTGCTGTCAGGGGGAATTCTCTGAGCCTCCCCTCTGTCCAGGGACCCCCTCATTCCATCTCCGCTGCAGCATTTACCCTGGGGCCTGAATGCAGCCACTTAGCCTGTCTCCGCTTCCTTAACTGGGAGGCAGAAGCAATCCCTCCTTCACAGAGGACTGTGGTCATTAAATGAGACAAGATATGTCAAGCATCTGGCCTCGTGCCTGCTGCCTTCTCTTTCTTTCTAGAAGGTCGGGGTCTTCTTAAACGCTTCCTAATCACGGTGTGTTTAAATTCATCCGCTTTTGGCATCAAAGCCCCAAATATGATAATTTACATATACCACATCCCTAGTCTGTTCCCTGTTCAACTTAAACAAGTTCCTAAGTCTTGTCTGGCACCTGCTCCATGCAGGCACTGGGCTGGGGTGACGCCTGCTGACTTACTGGTAACCAATTTCTCCTGTCTCCAACTTTAACCCTCGTTGAAGGAGGACAGGATCTGAGGCAGCTCAGCCCCGAAATTCCTAGATGAATGAAGCTGTTGGTCCATCCCCAGGCTCTGGGCCGCAGGCAAACCCAGCCACCTTCGTAGTCTCGAGGATAGAGCCAGAATCTGAGCCCACCCTCAACCTCCTTAACCGGATGGGCACATCTCCAATTCTTTAGGGGTTGGAGGTCACCCGAGAATCACTTAGCTCTAGTTCCCAAATCCCATCTACAGTCCTTCCTCAAATTCTTCTGGCAATGGGGGCTTGCCGCTCTAGGCAGGATAAGCATGCGATGGCTCTGGGGTGAGCAGTGCCTCCAGGAAGCGTCCCTGGGCACAGAGGAAGGGGCTGGGAGAGCTCAGGACTGGGGAGGCCAAGGGCACAGGGCCCCGGGAGCCCATTTGCAGAACTAAGAGTGAATGTGGCTTCTTCTTCCTGCAGTAGTAGGAAGGGACAGGATGTTCTGCAGAGGCCTGCTCCATTTCCCAGGGTGAAGGGGAGGCTGGGGGAGGCGGAGCCGGGAGGCAGGGCTTATTGAAAACTGGGTCAAGATGGCTTCAGATTTGAGTGAGCAGAGCCTACCAGGCTCTGGGGTAATAGCTGCGGGTACCACAGAGAGGTCTGGCTAGACAGGAGGGGTGGGAGGAGGACTCAAATTGGCAGAGGAATGAAGGTAGGGCCTCTCCCAGGAAACCAGGAGCATCAACACCAACCGAGAGGTGGAAAGCAGCAGAGCCACCAGGCTCTGGGGCCTGAATGCAGGCCTGGGCTACTCTGAGAAGACAATTAACTGGTACCAGCTGCAGAGTGGGGCTGGGGGGTGCAGAGTACTGGTTCTGATCCAACCCTGTGGATGAGGTCAGGGGCCTGGAAAAGAGAAGGGCTAAGGGCTGCGCTGGCTGTATGGACACAGCTCAGTCGGAGCACAGTCCAGCCTCCAGCCTTGTCCTCCGGCCACCCTGACCCAGGCCCTGGGCAGCTCCTTCAACAGACCTACTCAGCTTCGCTTGGCAGCTGACAGTTCAAGGCTGGGACCACATGAAAATCTGAAAAGAGAACGGGAAGGAGGCAACTTGCAGACACACGTGTGGGCGGCTGTCCTGTGAGGGACCATTGTTCCTGGCAGGAGCACGTGCCCACCGTGGGCGTGGCTCCCCCTGGCTGTTTACGCCCAGTGTGCTGGGTGGGCTGGTATCCCCGTGGGTCTGCCACCAGCAGAAAAATAACTGGCACCACGAACCCCCCCCAACACAAAATTGGTAATTTATTGTTGTCATTATTAGGAGGCAAAAAAATGTAGTTACAAGAATCATATTCCAAACAGAGGTTAAATATGAGCTGAAAAGTGTAAAAAAGGAAGAGGAACATCACTTTACAAATCATTAAATTAAACAAATAAACAAACAAAAAAACCAAACCCAAAGAACCAACCCCCCATGCTGAGTTCTCTCCTTGTGCAACTCTGCAAAATGAGAACAGAAAATGAGGTGGGCTGTGGAGGTGGGAGCCCTGGGTGGGGCAGGAGCCAGGGACCAGGAACAGGTGGAGAGGGTGCTGGGGCAGCATGGACACCATTTTCCTGCCCCTTAGGCCTGGTGGCCTCTGGCACCTGGTTGTGCCTGGTGGCCCTACCAAGGCTGGGGGCAGAGAAGTTCCCACCTGCCTGTGGCATTGCAGCCCTGTGGGGACAAGCCCGATTGGGAGACAGATACACACAGGACCGGGGTGTGCGGGGGGTGGCCACCAGTAACCTGGGCTGATACCTGACCCAGGCGCCAGGCTCTGCCTTTCTGGTCTGAACTTGCCCCAAGCCCACCCTGCATCTCTCTCCTTCTCTCCAGATGGCCCCTCCCAGATCCTAAATGGCCCCTGCAGCATCAAATGGTTGATTTTAGTCTTTGCTTAAATTAAAAAATTAAAATATATATACATATATATACTGTACACACAGGACAACAACAGAGAGTGTTGAAAAGGGAAGTCGAGGCGTGGGCCAGGGGGAGCCGGGGCTGTGGGAGGGAAGCAGGGTTGGGTGAAGGGATGAAGGGAGAGAAGGGGGAGAGGTTAGGGGCCCAGTTGGGGGGCAATTTATTTTACAATAAAAACAGGAGTTCAAACCTCAGCAGAATGGGTCTCTGGGAGCCCCAGAGGGCCGTCCCCACACTGAGTGAGGGGGGGTGGGTTTGGGGGGATGGGGTGGGCGGGGAGCTCGGCTTCAGGTTTAGATCACTGCCGTCCCTGGTCGGAGGGAGAAGGGCCACGGTCTCAGCTTCTCCGTGACTTTGAGTGTTGAATAAGCCACTGTAGGGTGATGTCTGGGCAGGAGATGAGAGAAGTGTATAAGGCTTTGCTGAAGCTGGCTGGAGAGTGACAGTGAGCCCAGGGTTCCCCAAACCACAGCCAGGGAGCACGTCGAAGGGCACCCAAAGCCCAGGTTGACAAAGCTCCACAGCCCCAAATGGAAGGAGACAGAGCCCCGCCTGTAGAGTGGCCTGGAGTTGTCTGGTTCAACCCAGAACCTCAAAGGTGCAGAAGGGGGCTAGTGGCCCAAGGTCATACACCACTGAGGCAGAGCTGGAATATACTCAGAGTGGGGCCTCCTGGCTGCCCATTGCATCCGAGGACCACAAAGCTTTGTGCTACAGCTGTGGACTGGGAACCTCTGAGAGCCCAATACTAAGACATCCAGAAAAGGTCTCCTCTCCCTTCCCCACTGCCACTCCCCGAGGTCAGTAGCTCCCCAAACTCACGCACCAATATTGTCCTTCTCTTTGCAGGAGATGGAGTAGCAGCAAATCTCTCGGTCCTGGATGGCAGACAGATTCCTGGGGGGAGACCACAGTAGAGTCTGCTGAGGTTGGGACTGATTGGGGACCTGGGACTAGGGAAAGACAGGGGCTTTTTCTGCCTAAACCTGCTACAATGAGGGCGAGGCTCTTGGAAAGGTGCGTTCTGCTGCCACCATGTGGTGAATGCTAAGAACTGCAACAAGCCCAGCCTCCAGGTCAGGTGGCTGGGGAATTTGGGGAGCTGGAAGTACAAAGAATCATCAAACTCACATTTTTTCTATCAGTTCCTTCTCATCCAGTGCCCCTGGGAGATCTCGCTTGTTACCCAGGACTAAGACCTACAGTGGAGGAAGGATGAGGATTAGACGTAGAGCAGCCCCGCCCTTCCCTACCTCCTCTCCCCACCCTTGGGACGCAGGCTTTTCTCCCACCCCCAGTGACCTCCCAGCCAAGCTCCCTTGCCCCTTTCACTCCATTCCCTTGCTGACCGGGATGCCCTGCAACTGAGGTTTGTCCAGTAGGTTGTGGAGTTCATTTTTGGAGGCCTCGATCTTCTCCTGGTCTGCAGCATCCACCATATACCTGGGGAAAGGCAAGGCAGGACAGCGCGTGGACACCATGCAGGGGGGTGGGCAGGAAGGAAGAGGGAGCTGGTGCTGGGAGCAGGAAACTACTTGCTGCGGGGTGGTCCCTTCTGGAGCTGCGGGCGAGCCTGGCTGGGCTCAAGGCTCTAGCTCAATGAATGCTTTCTCAATCTATGCAGGTAAAAAACTGGTGACTCCTGGGGCCACCTCTATCCTGGCATCTGTGGAAGCTGTTACTCATGTGGCACAGGCTTGGGCCCTGTAGGATCAGCTGTAAGTCCAGCCCAAAGTGACCCATTTAGGTTCTCATGAAAAGCCTACGTAAGGCAAGAGTGGAAAAAACAAAGGAAATCCCAGGATATTTTCTTGCAGCAAGATGCTTAAAAAAAAAAAAAATCAGGTTAAAAACCATCTATTGTCTGTTCTATCAGGAAAACTAAACGACCTATTGTCTGGGCATATATATGTCAAGTAAAATTATTTCTAAAACATAAGGCAATGAAATACCCCCCAAATTCAAGACAGTGGTGACGTGAGCTGGGGATAGGCAGGGGGACAATGAGGAGTCCCCCGACAGTCCAGCTGGTTTGCTGGGGCCCTGGTTCTTAGACTGGGCAGCGTTCCAGAGCATTTACCTAATAAGAAACAAGCAGGGTGCAAAACAGGCAGATTGTGCACAGGAAGTTGGCCCTGAACCCAGGACTAGGTCTGATTCGATTCTGTGCCTCTGAGGTCCCTGCAGATAGTGTATGTGGCAGGGAGTGGGGTGGGATGGAGGAAGACCAGGTAAGCGGAGGAGTCCTTCAGCCCCACCGGCCCATACTTACACAATGGCACTCACTCCCCGGCAGTAGCGCTCCCACATGCTGCGGAAACGGGGCTGTCCCCCAATGTCCCAGAGCTGAGCAAGAAGAGGGTGAGATGGCCTCAGTAGCAAGTAGGTGACCAAAACCCATCTTGGCTCCTTAGCAGTTCCCCCTCCTCTCAGTTTCTCCTCCTCTGTCCCCACACCCTTCCAGCCACCTCTGATACCTTCTGCTCTCTTTTTCCAGCTTCCCAGCGATGGGACCCCTGGCCTCTGGTCTCCCTGGTCTGCTCCTCCCAAGAGCCCCTCTGGCCCTCCCCATCACAAGTGCTCCTCTACAGCCACCTTGCTAGTGCCAGTAGTTTCAGCCTCCTGCCCCTCACCTTGATGGTCACGTTCCCTTTGGTGATTTTGCGCATGTTGAAGCCCACGGTGGGGATCATGTCTTCATTGAACTGTCCTGACTGGAGGGAAGAGTCAGAATTGTAAAAGGTGCAAAGCCCAACAGGCCCAGATGTGCCCTCCCTGTGGTCACAGGCCAAGGGGCTGCAGGAAGAATGCAGCACTGAAGCCAGAGTCTCTTAGACTTCCCTGAGGCAGTGAGGCATGGGGGTCAGTGTCACAGGGACCATCTGTTGAATGCCTCTTGCTTGCAGGCAGGATGGTCCACAACCAAACTAGGTGTCCACCCTGCACCTGGAGATCTCTTGTGAAGAGGCCCATCTTCCTCAAGCAATCTCAAAGTTTCTCAACCCAGACTGGGAGAAAGTTCTTCATAAGGTCTAACCTATGGCACTCTGTTAAGTGAAGCCTCTTGACTGTATTTAGTCTGCAGTGGAAGGGAAGAATAAATTACTTCCCAGGAAAAGGACCTGGAACAGGTCATGGTCTAACACTCAAGGGATAAATCAAGGAAAACAGACATATTTTCAAACTAGCAGTAAATGTTCAAGTGAAAATTGTGGGGTGAGGTGTAAATTGACCACTCTCAAAATGTAATAAATGCCAAGAAATTTCAGAATTATCCATGGTTAGGCAGGCACAGTGGCATCTATGCCTGTAATTCCAGTGGCTCAGGAGGCTGAGGCAGGAGGATCTTGAGTTCAAAGTCAGTCTCAGCATCTTTGTGAGGCCCTCAACAATTTAATGAGGCCCCATCTTTAAATAAAATTTTAAAAAAGGCTGGGGTTGTGGCTCAGTAGTTAAGTGTCCCTGGGTTAAATTCCTGGTGCCAAAAAAAGAAAAAAAAAAAAAAAGAAAAGAAAGAAGGAAAAAAGAATTAACCATAGTTTTTATTTGCACTCTACTCCATCTGATAGGGCGGATAACCCACACTCTATTATTTGTTTCCATGCATCTCCCCCTAGACCCAAAGCTTCTTAGGGAGAGGGCCCATGCCTACAGCAATAGCATTAGGGAATGTTTGCTGACTATTTGAGAGTTGATTGTAATTCCATTCTCCATAATCCATGTTCAAATTCTAGTCATTTTCACTTCTCCCCTCTAAACTGTCTCTTAAGATCTCTGGATTGTTCTAAACCAACCACAGACTTCAAATAAGGCCAGACTTAACTCCCTCCGGGGTCATCTCCACTCACATAGGACACTTCTGCTCACTACCCAGAAGGAGACGGGGCTCACTTAACCCTGAACTTGAAAGGGACAGCCCTGTTCCTTTACCACATCCTTTTTTCCCACCCAGTGAAAGAATCAGTTGCCTTGGTTCCCGTAAAGAGGTCAGGGGTTCTGACCACTGGCCAAGCTGTGGGAGATGATCAGTTCTTTCTCAGCATCTCCAAGTCTAAGTGAAGACCCCTCAGGTCCTCTTTGAGCACCCTTCCCTTCCATCCACAGGAACACCTGCTCCCCAAGGCCTCAGGGTGATGTGAGAACACAGTGACCATGAACAACACCCAGTGACAAGGTAAAGCAGGGGTTCCTCATCTGAGGCTTTAAAGGTCCCCTGGATTTCCTGAAATTGCACACCATCTCTGTGTGTGATGCTTCGTTTATATGTACAGTCACTCCTTGGTATCCACAGGGGTTGGTCCCAAGAACCCCTCCACAGTACAAAATCTGGGGACGCTCAAGTCCCTTAGATAAAATGGCACAGTTATTTGCCTATAACCCACACACAGCCTCCCTTATATTTTAAATTATCTCTTGATTACTTATATCTAATAACAATGCAAATGCTATGTAAATAGTTACCATATTGTCATCATCCTGTATCATTTAGGGAAAAATGAAAAGAAAAATTAGATTTATGTTCAATACAGATGAAATTTTTTTGTGTGAAAACTTTTTTTTTTCCCCCCAGTACTGGGGATTGAACTCAGGGGTGTTTAACCACTGAGCCACATCCCCAGCCCTTTTTTATATTTTATTTTGAGATAGGGTCTCACTGAGTTCCTTAGGTCCTCACTAAGATGCTGAGGCTGGCTTTGAACTCATGATCCTCCTGCCTCAGCCTCCGAACTGCTGGGATTACAGGCATGCGCCACGGTGCCCAGCTTGAAAAGTATTCATAAGAGGTCTTGCTATGTTGCCCAGGTTGGGCTCGAACGCCTGGGCTGAATCTATCCCCTTGCCTTAGACTCCCAAGTAGCTGGGATAAAAGTCATGCACCACCATGTCTGGCTTCTTCTGAATATTTCTGATCCTTGGTTGGCTGCATGCAGAGATTCATGGAGGTCTGACTGTACGCTTCTTGGGGGAAAGGGTCCCTAATTTTTCTCAGTTATCCAAAGCGTCCAATAGCCCCCCAGAAGTTAGGAATCACCAGGAGAAGTGTGTACCTGAAGGAGGACTGCCTGCCCTCTGGCAAAGTAAGGAGAACTAAGGGTGGGCCTGATACCCAAGCCCCGGCATGACTCTGGGCTGTGGGACTGGGCACCTGCTGGGCCAAAGGACACCCCGCCCCATCCCAGCTGACGAAGAACATGGAGGGGTTTAGGGTGTAGCTCAGTGGTAGAGTACTTGCCTGGCATGTGTGAGGCTCTGGGTTCAATCCCCAGTACTGCCAAAGAAAGAAAGAAAGAAAGAATTTGGAGCTGGGTGTGGCAGTGCACATCTATGATCCCAGCTCCTCAGGAGGCTGAGGCAGGAGGAGGACAATTTCAAGGCCAGCCTCAGCAATTTAGTGAGACCCTCCCTATCTCAAAATAAAATAAATAAGTAAATATAAAGGACTGGGGATATTGCTCAGTGGTAAAGCATCCCTGGGTTCAACCCTAGTATAACAAAAACCCCCATAAGTCTGAGGAAGGAAGCCCAGTTCTTATTCATCACCATCACAGGAGAGCTTTAATAAGATACTTTATCCTCTCTGGGACCCAGGGTTTCCTACTATAAAAAGGGGGAGAAAGGTTTTGGTTTCCTAGGAGTTATGAATAAGGCTAACCAAGTGCTTGGAATTTTCTTTCTTTCTTTTTGTGGGGGTGATATAGATAGATCCCAGAGTCTCCCCACATGCTAGGCATGAGCTTTGCTACATCCCCAGCCCTTTTCACATTTTTAAATTTTGAGACAGAATCTCATTATATTGCCCAGGCTGGCCTTGAACTTGTGATCCTCTTGCCTCAGCCTCTTGAGTAATGGAGATTACAGGTACCCGCCACCACGCCTGTCTAGAATAAGTTGTAATATGGCACAGGAACCATCATTGGTCTTTAGCAATAAGACCCACAGGCTCCCAAATAGATGAGAATCTAGCCTGGTAGAATGTGACCTTGGCAAAGAAAGATGCTAGGAGAACTTCAGGGAGTCAGGTGCCCCCCCCCCCCCCCCCCGACGAGGAGTCTCTTCTGTTCAGCCATCGTCAGAGCTAAGTTGGATCAGGGTATGACTTAATTTCCCTGCTGATGCCTCCCAAGTTCCTCAGGTAAGAACAGAAGTAATCTTAAGTTATTTAGCCCAACCTCTTGTCTCAGACTTGGATATCCTCTGGCCCATTCCCTCCTGGGTCCACTCTAACTATTATAAAGTTCTTTATAATGCATCAAGAATCCATCTTCCTATAATTTCTAGCCTTTTGTTCCTAAATCCTGGTGAGTACTGCAAGATTAGTTCTTCCATAGGACAGTCTTTTATTACGCTTTTAAATATTTGAAAATATCCGTTTCCCTGGGCTAAAACATCTACTTTTCTACCATCACAATTCTTTCAGAACTCAGATCAGGTTTTGTTTCTTAGAAGCGCTGTAAACTTTCTACCTAATTTCTTTTCAAATTCCTATTAACCTGCTGAGCGGCTACACACACTCAATTCACTTCCTACTTAAAGCCAGACCTCATCCAGTGAAGAAAAGAACCCAATGGGAAGATGCCAAGACAGAGGCCAGGGGAACACAGGGAGGTGATGCAGAAAGTCAGTGGTGGGCATGGGAACAGAGCCCTGGGTTCCTGGCCCTTCATTTCCAGAAGACACTACTTATTATATACAGGGTGAGCAGAAAGTCTGATGTGGTAGCGCTGGTTGTAGATCTGAGGACACTGGAGTTACCCAGATGCTGGAATTCCAACTGCAGTCTGCAAGGGGCGGTTTTTCTTGGAAGTCCTCTTTTAGGGAAGGGACTCAGGGTCCTGCTCTTTTAGGATGTACCAGTTGAAGTGATAAACTTAATATCTAAATCACGGTTCTTGGAAATCCCATCTTTGGGTCTAGGACCAGTTCCCTGGACAACCCTAGAGTCTGTCCCAAGGTTTCCTGGGCCCCACAAAACCCTAAAGTATGTCTCAAGGTTTCCTGGACTAGAGAGAGGGAACTTTCCCTGAACATCCCAGAAACTCTTGACCCTGGCAGCAGCATTTGGGATTCTTGGGTTCTGTTGCTGCCCTATGTCATAGCCTCCCATCTGGATTGATGCTCATCCAGAGGGGGCCTCCAGACCCAGAAACTGAACCCACCTGGGTACTTGTCGATCCCTGCCCAGGAACATGGCTTTAATAATGCTCCACGAGGAGAGTTTCCTTGGGGACAGGAGGTGACTTGTTTCTCCTCTTGGTCTTATTCCAGAGACATCTCCCAGAACTAAATGCCTAGAAGCCCAGCCACTGAGGCCTGCAGAGCCAAGTAGGAGTGCAGGTGTGCTGCTGCTCTGGGATCCCAAGAGCCAAGTCAATGCCAAGTCTAACCAAGGAGTCTCTGACCCTGGAGTTAGAGCTTAGGCAGACAGGAGCCGAGAAGCATGTCAGAAAACATCATGCCCCAAACCTTAGCCACAAACTAGACATTCTGCCCTGGCAGGAGATGCTGGGTAGAGGAAGGGGCAGAGGTCACCTGCAGAGCATGAATAGGGAAGGAAGCCAGTGCCCAATCATGACCTGAGTACCAGCCCCTCCAGCTTTCCATCTGTCCTGCTGCTTCAGACCAAGTGTAGTAGTAATAACTCCACCCCTGGGGGATGCTGAGACCTGTCAGGGAGACTCAGGTCCTGCAAGGTTGGGTAACAACTAGGCAGGTGGCAGTGCTAGGCTGGGGGCCACTATCCTTTGCCTACCTATCTATTCAGCATTTTGTATCAATATTTGGCCACATCACGGTTCTTGGAAATCCCATCTTTGGGTCTAGGACCAGTTCCCTGGACAACCCTAGAGTCTGTCCCAAGGTTTCCTGGGCCCTACAAGCCAGAGTCCTGCCTGGCTGGGAAATGCAGGCCGCAGCCATTACTGCAGCCTCAGCTCACACACCCAGGGAGCTCATCTTCCGTTTTTTGAGAGAGATTTTAACTCCTTCTCCACCACTCCCCTGGCACAGAAAGACTATAGTAATCGCCCTCCTTAGTTTTGACTCCCGGATGCCCCCGGAGCCACTCTCTGCCATGTCCCCAAGTGGGTAGCGCCCCTGCAATTCATCCTCTGGTAGAGAGTACCTCCTCTTGCAACTTCTGAGCCAGGCGAAGACTCCAAACTCCCTTTACGGTGCCATCCTCTCTGGACCCCCAGCGACACCACCATCCCAGAGAGGTTCCGGGAAGGAGGAGTCTGGGTCTGAGCCAAGGGCCTCAGCTGACTCCTCTGTCCCTGGGGACTACCTCCCCTCTACGCGGTGGGGTCGGGGCATCATCTATCAAAATGGGATGGAGCCCTCAGGGTGGGACTGGGTTGGCCCAGGCCCCCTCCCAAGCAGCTCAGACCGCCTGTCCCGTGACGCTCCTTGCGCGGGGCGGAAAGGCCCGGGCACTTTCGCCCCGTCATGCCCCCTTGCAAGGGGGCCTGTCTCAGCCCGCAGCGGGTCCCAGGTGCCTGGAGACCCCCCTCTGTGCCGCCAACCCCAGAGCGCCACCCATCTCCTGGATCCCCCCTCCCCTGCCCCCAGCTGTGCCATCCTGGCTCAGGAGGGAGAGCGGGTCGCGTGCCACTCGGGTCCCCCACCGGCCGTGCTAGGCCCCAAGCGCCCCGGGCCGGCTCCTCCCCCGCCCGACACCCGGCGGTGCCCGGCCATGCCAGGCGGCGACCCGGGTTTCCCAGCGCGCAGTGCAGGCGGAGACAGGCCAGACCCTCGGCCCGCGCCCGGGCCCCGCGCCACGCGCCCTCGTACCGCGATCACGTTGACGAAGGTGGTCTTGCCCGAGTACTGCAGCCCGACCAGCGTGAGCTCCATCTCCTCCTTCCAGAACAGGGCCTTGAACCAGTCCAGCAGTTTATTGAACAAAGCGATCATGGTCGCTGCCGCCGGCCCCGCCCGGTGCCGGGTCCCCGCCGCCCCTCGTTGCCCTCGCGCTGCGGCCCGGAGCGGCCCCTCCCCGGTGCGGCCCGGGTCCCGCTGCTCGGTGCGGGCGGAGGCTCGAGCGCGGCGGCCGACGACTTGCTGCCCCCGGATCCGCTCGCCGATGGGTGTGGCTTCAGCGCCCTCCTCCTCCTCCGCTGCCGCCGCCGCCGCCCTCCCGCGGGCCGGGCAGCGTCCTGCTCGCACCCGAGCGCGCGCTCCTCCCTCGCCCGCAGCCAGGGGCCGACGCCCGCGAGCGGTGGGCGGGGAAGCCGGGGCTGCGAGGGTAGGGATTGACTGGCAGCGACGAGGCCGGGCGCTCGGGAGAGGAGGAGAATTTTATTTTCTCTCTCTTCTTGGGCCACTGAGCGCTTACTGCCACTCCTTCGTTCTTCAAGGGTGGTGGTCCTGATGCGGGTGAGGTGCCACTAAGCAACAGCGTCTCCAGTTTGAAGAAAGGGGTGCTGGAGTCGCCCACTTTCCAGGACACAAAGATGAGATCTCTAGGAAAGGGAGGCAATGGAGGCTTTTTGTTTCTTAATCCCTGCTTCTCAATATCCCTGGGTACTGAGTCCCCTCCTCTAAAATGTACCCAGGGGAGAGTAACAGCCACATTTGGGTCTTTTAATACTCCATCTTGTTTTGTTAACCACAACTTGCCCAGGCTACTTGTTCAGGAGGGCCTCTGGTCCAAAGTGAAATAGATGTTTGAACTTAATGCTGATTATTGCTAGTATCATGACGACAATGAAACAGACAAAAATCCTGGCAGGGGATCCCCAGTGAGGAACATCTGTGGCAAAGGGAAATATGTGCTGTTTTGGTAAAAAGTAAAGTTTTCTTCCAGAGCAGAACTGATAGTGGGTGGTGTAGGACCGCAGAGACGCCTCCACTCCTCTCTTGCAGGAACTAACCACCGGGCCTGCTCACCCAGCCAGCTGGACCTCACTAGTCCCCAGCTTCAGGGCAGTTCCCAGCTTCTGTTGGATGCTCCTTTGAATTTGATTTCCAAGAATACTCCTATGGAGTCTACTCTCTCAATCAAAGGCAAATAAACTCTCAACATCAATCATATCCTTCAAACCTACCCAAGAGTTAGATGACCCCAACTGACCAAATAGTTGCCAAAGTGGAGGAATCCCCACCTTAGACCAGTATAACATTCTGGTTTATTAAGCACTGTCTGTCTAGTCTGTACCTTTTATAAGTCTCCCTTTAGCTCCTAATGTACTTGATATGCTGAATGACTGAATATGTCTCCCCCAAATTAATATGTCGAAATCCTAATCTCCCAAGTGATGGTATTAGGAGGTGGGGCCTGGGATTAAGTCATGAGGTGGAGCCCTACTAGATAGGATTAGTGTCCTTATAAAAGAGGAGAGAGAGAGAGGGAGGAGAGAGAGGAAAGAGAGAGAGGGAGAGAGAGAGAGAACGAACAAACACGTGCAGTCTAGCCCAGAGCCTATGCCCCTTCCACCAGGCAAGGAAACAGAAGGCTCTGCTTATGAGCCAGAATGTGGGTCCTAACCAAAAACTGAATCTATAAGCACATTGATCTTGGACTTCCTATTATTCAGAACATTGAGAAACAAATTTCTTGAATTTGTGTTTGTGTTTGTGCTTGTGTGGTGCTGGGATTGACTACAAGGCCTTGTATGTGCTAGCAAGCAACCTACCACTGAGCTACATCCTCAGCCCCAGTTTCTTTCTTTCTTTTTAATTTTTTTTTAGTTGTAGTTGGACAAAATACCTTTATTTTATTTATTTCTTTTTATGCAGTGCTGAGGATCGAACCCAGCGCCTCGCACATACTAGGCAAGCACACAACCGCTGAGCCACAACCCCAGCCCCTCAGCCCCAGTTTCTGTTGTTTAAATAACCACCCAGTTTGAGCTATTTTGCTATAACAGCCTGGTCAGGCTAAGATAGCATACCTAGGTCTCATTTCCTAAATTGATTTACAGTTGCACTTTGTTTCCTATCCTTGGAAGGGCTAGAAAAATGAACATCCCAGGGGTAAAGATTGCTGCAGCCTGTAACTGGTCTGTGGAGTAAACTGTATTGCTATAAAGAGCCCCAGAGGCTTGAGAAGATGGAAAGAAGGAATCAGTCAGTCATCCAACAAGTCTTTATTTTTTCCACTTGGTTACTTCTCCAGAGCTGGTACCCTCTGAGATCTGGAGCAAGGTTACTCACAGTGCAGAAGGGTGCCCTTGGGTGCTATGCCATTGCTTTCCTCCAGACTGGGTCTGAGCTCAGGGCAGGATCAGGCACTTGAGAGCCCTCCACCTCGCTTGGGTGGCACAGATGGTGGTGCCTCTCACAGGGCTCTGGAAGGTGGAGGTATAGGTGAGCCCACTCCAGGCCTATGAAGAATGAAGGGACTTCTCCATAAGGCCAAGCAGAAGCATGAAGAAAATGAACCTCAACAGCAGCACTACATGTCCTTTAAAAGAGACATCATGAGAGGGGAGCCCAGCTGCTTTCTGGGACCAGCTCCTTGGGGTTTTCACGGAGAATGGTGTTTTACTACCATCATCCTCAGAGTCAAGAAAGACTCAGGGTTTGGGTACCTTCCTGAGATTTTGTAGTTGAGCCCTGAGATAAATCTGGGTTGCCCTGGAAATCGTGTTGAGATGAATGGTGATTAGTTCTCTGGGGTAGATATGAGGGGTTGCAATTCAGTGTGAGCCCGTCTGTCTATACGGGGTGGTTGGAACTCAGAATGTTCTGGAAACAGCCAAGCTCTCCAGATGTACTCTGCAAATGCAGGGCATGGAGGATATGGTGGGGGTGGGGGTTTTTGAATCAGATGAAGTTCTTTGTCTCCTCCTCTCTCCTCTTTCTTTGGTGCTTCCTGGGCACCCAGGGTATCTTCTGAGGTCATAGAGCAAAGCAGAGAGTGTTGGGGCTCCACAGAAAGTAGATGGGTAAGTGGCAGGCAGTTATGTAGGCAGGGGCAGCCTTCTTGGCCTCTGATTTGTCCCCACATATTCTCTCTTTAAGAGGTTTCAACTGACATGCCTGATCATCGCTGTAGCCTCCTCTCAGGATACATGCATGGAAACAGGAATCACCTGGGTCTTTGTTCACCTTCGAGTGGGTCATCCAGCACTCACTGATGCATAGGGTGGAGCAGGGAGCCTGCCAGGATGCTGAGAATCTGACTGAGGTCAGAACCAGACTTTTCCCAGCTCTTCATCTTGCCAGTGCTTAGGCAGGGCCTGGGTGGAGGATTATCTTGGAATCACCCTCTTGCCAGCCCCAGGAAAAGGAGAGACCACTGGAACAGCAGCTGGGAACTTCTCTGATTGCTTCCCTTATGACAGCAGAGCACTTTATGTCCATGACATAAATGAGAAGATTGAATGCTCACAAAGAGCATTTTCGGGAAGAACAACACACCTGGGCTTGTGTCTCAGTCTGTGCCAGCTCCTATCTTTAAGGTCAGAGATTTGAAGGCTCCTCTATTACCCATCTGGGGCCACTAGGGGAGGCAGAGGAGTGGCCAGTGGGGACACCTGAAGCCTGGCCTCTCATTCTTGCTGATTCAGCTTCCTGGAACCCTAAGTGCTCACTAATGGGGCATCCCTTCCCACTGTCATGCAGGGGGTACCCCAGATCCCACAGCCCACTTCCCCAAACCCAGGCCTGAAGGGCGGTTGGCACCTGGGCTGGTGGAGGGTGGCAGGGGTCAGGGGCTGGGTTCCTGGGGCAGCTGGGCTGCATATAGGGCCAAAGTGTGGTGCAGGAACTGGTATTGCTCCGCAGTCTGGATCATTCCTCCTCTGCAGGAAGAAACAGACCATGATCGAAGGAGGGACAAGGAGCCTGCTGAATGGCTGGGGTCAAACGTCTCCCTGGTCTTACTGGGAAAGTCCTGTCTTTCTCCCTCCCCTGTGTTAATTTTACTACTTTCTATTCCTCCTTGAGGCCCCTCAAGCTTCCCCTCAAGAGAGGGAGGCTGGGTACTAAGGGGGAAGTACCCTACATTGACACTTGGTCTTCTCTGATCCATTTAGCTCCTGAGCAAAACCAAACTTCTGATTTCCTCAGGTTGGGTCAGGAATATCCCTGAGCCACAAGTTTTCCTTTCTAATAATCCTAAAAGTGAAAATAGTAATTCTGTGCATTTATATAGCAGTTCCCACTTTCCAAAATACTTTCATATAAATTCATATAAATTTTCATATAAATTAACCTATTCCTTTCAATAGCACTCTGAGGATGAAGGAATGGGCCCAGAGAAATTTAGAGACAGCTCAGTAAGATGCAAGTGGGAATTTGGACACTGCTTCTCAATCTCTAAATCCAGTAAGCATCGGGACTTGCCCATGGCCACCTCATATCTAGAGTCAACTGTATCTTTTTTTTTTTTTTTCAAGCTCTCCCAAATAGGCATTTGGAAGAGGCTGGGGAATGCACGAGAAATTGAAGGGTCCTGGGAAGTCCATAGGGTGGCATATTTAATTCCAGGCCCCAAGCTAAAATTCCAAATAGAGATTCATTCCTGGATGTTAGCTGCAAAATAAACAGCTCTTAAGCCAAAGGGATCCTTTCCTTTCTTGAAAGAGTGCTTGATGGTGATTGTCTAGTGGTGCTGATGCCCAAGGGCCCTGGCCACTCATTAGCATGACTAGTCTTGTTTATCATGCACCCACCTGTCTAGCCGCAGTTGGCACACAATGCCCAGAATGTCCACTTCCCCTCGGGCCTTCAGCTGTTGGCAGCCAATTCGGGTGGCTATGAAGCAGCCTGTCCGGCCAATCCCTGCACTGGATATAACCAGAGAGAAGACGGGGAGGTCACAGGAGGGAAGAAGCAAGGGAGTAAGGTGAACAGGAAATGTGGGAGCCGGGTCCCAAATCTATGGACAAAAATGGGACCTGCTGGGTGTGGTGGTGCATGACTGTATTCCCAGTGACTCTGGAGGCTGAGGCAGGAGGATTGCAAGTTCAAAGCCAGCCTCAGCAACTTAGCAAGGCCCTAAGCAACTCAGTGAGATCCTGTCTCTAAATAAAATATTAAAAAGGGCTGGGGATGTGGCTCAGTGGTTGAGTGTCCCTGGGTTCAATCCCTGGTACCAAACAAAAAAAAAAAAAAAAAAAAATGACCTGAAGGTGCTGTATTTGTGGGGCAGGATTCTGAGGATGGAACACTATACCCCAGCTTCCAGCACCTCTGGAGGAGTTTGCCTCTCTTTGCATTGGGGGAGATGAACCCAACGTCTCCTGCATGCTAAGCATGCGCTCTACCACTGAACCATGCCCCAGCCTTGAGCCTGTACTGCTCCTCAGCCTCACTCCAGGCCTAGTCCAGGTCACCTTCCGGTTCCTGTGGACATTGCAATGATCTCTTTTCTGCGTAACAATCTACAACAGTTTCCAACTGACGGTGCCCCACTGTGGGCTGGCTGCCCCCTCAGGCCCTCCTTATCTGAATATGACTTCCTCCCAGTTTATACTCAGCCTCCACAGCTACCTAGGCCTGCTCCCTCTACGCCTCCCTCCATTCCATCCACAGTCCTCTTCTCTCTGCTGTGCGCTATCTTGCCCTTTATTTCAAAACCCTCTCCTTCCTTCTTGAGCAACTCTTGCATGACCCCTGATAGAAACCACTAATGACACCCAGCACCTATATCCAGGGGTCACCTGTGGGTGAGCCCAGGAGGCCCCTCTAATTTATACTTTTTTGCCTGGATGTTGTTTTATTTCGGATGTCCACTCCCCAGTGGTCTCCTTGCTTTATCTGTCCCCTGTGTCACCCCCCACCCACTCCTACTTTCATTCTGTAGCCAAAGCATCCTTTTAAAATAGCAAATCTGAGCCAGGCTGGGTGGTGCATGCCTGGAACCTCAGCAAGTTTGGAAGACTGAGGCAGGAAGATCACAAATGTGAGGCCAGCCTGGGCAGCTTAGCAAGACCCTTAGAAGACCATGCCTCAAAAATAAAATAGAAAGGGCTGGTGATGTAGCTTGGTGGCAGAGCACTGGCCAGCATGTGGGAGGCGTTGGATTCAATCCCCAGTACCCAAACAAACAGAACCAAAAAGCCGCAAAGAAATAAAATGACAAATCCAAGGTCTTGGGTTCTATCCTTGGCACCTAAATAAATAAACAATAAAATAAACCCAAGTGTTTTAGTCAGCCCTCTAAGGCTGCTCTTCACGTGGCCTTCACTTGCCTTCTGGAATCATCTCCCATCATTATTCCCACACGTAATGGCCCACCCTCTCACCCTCCCACCCTGCAGCCAGTAATGGACCAAGTTTTAAATTTCTTCTCTCGGCCTTTGCGTGTGCTGTTCCGTCTGCTTGGAATGCTTCCCCTGTCCCTTCTCACTTGATCATTTCCCTTACAGGTCCTAGGGTAGCTTAGCTGTCCTTCCTCTTGGAAAACCTCTGGTTAAAGTCTGAGTTAGGCAACCTGACTCTGCACTGCCCATCAGAGCTCTCACAGCATCGTGTTGTGTTTAGTTGTTTAATCTGCCATCATTCCCACCAGGCCCTAAAACTGTTAGGGAAGAATCCAAACTATTTCGGTTACTGTTACCTACTTAGAGTCTAACATTGTGCCTGACAATAAGAGGTTTTCGATAAATACATGTTGAATGATCCCCTAACCGCAGGGATTGTACATGTTTCCTTTTAATAGCCAACTAGGAGCTTCCCGATATTCTGACGCCTCTCTGCATTGTGCCTGGGTGTGCAGAGATGTCTGGGTTCTGCGGGAAGGAGGTAGTAAGAGCAGAACACTTGCTGAATGACACAGATTCCTGTCCAAGTAAGAACTAGGCCTGCCTGATGCTCTTCTGCTCCGACCCCCTTCCCAGACCCAGTGGGAGGGAGGGGAGCATGGGATCCAGGCCACGGTGGAAGCAGCGGTCCCCCACCTGCAGTGGACCACGATGGGCCCAGTGTTGGCAGCTGTCTCTGGGCTGTCCTCCACCTCAGCCACCAGGCGCAGCAGGGGCCCGGCTGATTCCGGCGTCTGGTGGTCAGGCCAGGCTGAGAAGAGGATGTGTTTAACTGACCGGCGTTCCTCCTGGTGCTGGGATAGAGACAAGGCGTAAGGACGGGGGCCGGGAGAGGGGCACTGCCCACCTTCTGTGGCGTTAGAGGAGGGCAGGGGCTACAATAACCCTGTGGGGGAGTCGTCAGCTCAGAGCAGGCAGGGCTGACTCTTCCAGCTCATCATCCCGCCACGCTAAACCCAGTGAAGGAGCATCACCCTGGGACAGGGAAAGACCCACGTTCAAGGCTTGACTCTGCCTCTGACTAGCACATAACCCCGTTTTCTTTGCCTAAAAAGTGGGAACGGTGATATATTGGTTTACTTCCTGGGATGCTTGGAAAATAATGAATCAACAAAGAAATGTTTTGAAAAATGGAAAACACTATGCAATCATAGAAAACCTTTCTAAAGCACTTTCACGTGGACTGTTACACATCTCTTCCAACCTCCTCTCATTCCTTCAGCGCACTCTGGATCCTTCCTCTCCTTGCTGGACCACTCAGCAGGGGTAGAGTGGCTTCCTGTCCATTCCTATATGATTTGTTCCCTCTGTGCTATTAGACTAGGGGCTCCCTGAGGTCAGTGCCCAAGTCTCTCTTCTGTGGATCAAACGCCTCTTTTAGATGTGGGCTCAAGATTTGGATGAGCAAGCTTGGCTCCCAGCAAAGGCTGGGCCTGAGGCCCAGAGATGCTGGGGGTGGTCCAATTTCCCTGGGGTGGTACCTGGATGGTGAGCTGCCGCACAGTGTATTCTGGGCATTCTTTGGTATCCTGGATGCGTATCTGGAAGGGTCCATAGGTTTCCTCTTTTGTGGGCCAGTAGTGGACACATTTCTAGAAGGGAGGGAGCTAGGAGTCAGAAGGGGGGTGTCTATCAGCTGCAGCAGGGGTTGGGGAAGCTCTGAGGGGGCTGGTATCACCCTGCATATCCCATCTCCTCTGGGGAGGTCAGCAACTGGGACTTGGCTCTCCTGAGTTTGACCCTGCAGGCCAAGTATTCGTCCCATCTCATATTTTGGCCAAGACCCCGCTACCTGGAGAATAGCTCAGACAAGAGCCAGGGTTGCCTGTCAGTGTTCTTAGCTCCCAGGGAGCCTGTGGTGCCAAGCTGCCTGCATGGGGGTGTGTGAGTGTGTTGGGGCAGGATGTAGCCCTTTTGGGGGTTCACCAAGGACTGTGGCTCTGCCGCCTACCTCCTTGCCCTCTCGGAGCTGAGTGAGCATGACAATAAGGCACACTTCTTCTTGCCACACCATCTCCCAGAAGTCTGACACGGTGTTGGGCATGGGACCCTGGGTCGCGATATAGACCTTCTCCTGCCCATCGTAGCCCTGGGGAGGTGGGAGCACAGGGAGGCAGTGAGATCCGAGTGCCAGGGAAAGCCCAGGCTCTGCAGGTGCTGGATCAGGCTGAAACCAGTGAACACACGCACGTGTACAAGCACACACACTCTCAGAAGCCACAGGGTGGAAAGGACAAGGTCTTTTTGTTGTTGTTTTTTAATTGAACCCAGGGCCTGGTACAGGCTAGACAAGTGCTCTACCACTGAGCCACATCCCCAGCCCAGGACATGGGTTCTGGAGTGAGGAACATGTGAGTTCAAATCCCTGTTCTGATGTTTCCTAGTTATGCTATTATAAGCAAGTTACCTAGCTTCTGTAAGTCCCAGCTTCCTATCTGTAAACTGGGCATACTGATATCTTTCTTGCAGGAATGTAGTGTGGATTAAAGTTAATACAATATACTAAGAGTCTGGCATATAATGGGTGCTATATAAAAGTTTGTTCCCTTCCTCCCTTGCTGCTTTCTTCTAGCACAAAATACCAAAATTGTTCATTGATTGTGAATTAATGTTTCACTTTTATATATCACTCTTATATATTTAGCAGTGAAATGTAGCACCCTCTCTCAGGCCTGTCTCTGTCCCCTTCAGGATCCTCAGTTTCCTGTTCCTCAAGGTGATGGTGAAATCCAGCCCACTGTTCTGCTAGTTTTGCCTGACTAGTGGAAGACCTTGGGTCTGCACTGCTTTTCTGACAACAGCTATTCGGCCTGCAGCCTCAACTGCTGTCATACCCATGTTGGCCACTAGAGGGGGCTGCTTCTATTTCTACTTAGGGTGGACAGAGGTGAGAAGTTGGGGTAGAGAGCCCACCTTGCTTTTAGGTTCCTATTACTTGGACATTAATCCAACCATTTCCACAAAGGAGGGGATGTTTGGGAAAAGCACATGGGTGGGGGTTCTTCCATATTTGCATTGGCCTCTCCCATGAATATCTGGGGGGAGCCTGGGCAGTTGGTGGGGGTGGGTGGGTGGGTGGGGTGTTACTATTTGTGTTGGTCTCTCCCATGAAGATTTCAGGAGTCATTAGCCTTTAAGAAGCTAATGGCTAGGTTCAGCAATGTTCATTTTCCTGCCAGGTTTAGAGACTTGACATACACAGGGTGATAAGGTGGTTTAAGGAAATTTGGCATCTCTTCTTTTCCGAAAATTTTTAGCATGTTTTCTAGGTTGGTGACTTTGGGTCTGTTTAGTGTCCATCCAGCCTGGCAGGGCTGTGACAGCAATGAGTCAGAGCAGACAGGGACATCAACGCCCCTGACCTACCAGCCACAGCTGGGAGATACCATCTGACATCTTCAAACACAATCCCATCACACCACCGTTGCGCCGGTACTGCAGCCCGGCTACTCACTCGGATGTAGTTGGCATTGATGTAATCTCCATCCTCCTGGCTCTGCACCCGACAGAGACAGACACGGCTCTGAGGATCTAGGAAGTAAAAATCAGTGGCGGTCAGAGGTCAAAAGGTGACCAACTAATACAGACTCTAACTGACTCAGAGAAAAGACTTGTGACTGTCACAGTCCTTTATATATAGCAAGTAGCCCAATGCCCACTGGATTATTTTATATGTAGCTAATAGGCAACCACAGAATAATTTTGAGCGGGAGATTGATATCAATTTCCAGCCATAACTTGGGAAGGCTAACTGAGTGGTACTGTGCGGGATAGACTAGAGAGGAAAGGGCATGGAGCTGCAAAGATCACACAGGAAGTTCTTGTAACGATCTACTCTTGAGATCAGTGAGGGTGCAGAACAGGAGAATACGAGTAAAATTGGAAAAAGAAGTGCTGCAGAGAAAGAGTGTCTTTTCAGTGATGGATATGGGGTCCAGAGGAGTGACTTGCCCAAGATCACTTGGTGGTTAAGTGGGACTCGGACTCAGATTTCATTCAGCTACTAGATCCTGCGGTTTCTCCTCTAGGGGATGGGATTTCTCCAAATCAAATCCAAACGAGGATAAAGAAGCAGGCCTGTGAGGAAAGGAGAGGGGATACTCCCCTCCAGAGCCAGCCTGGCTATGAACAGAGGAGGCCCAGAGGCCAGGGAAATCTCAGGCAAGGGGACTGTCCCCTCTCTGGTGGCTGCAGGGCTGGTCAGAATTAGGAAAGGACTAAACTCACATCCTCTCCACTTGGCGGAGCACTCCCAGCCTCTGAACCCATCTCAGCTGGCAGAGGCGCAGGAGGAGGAAGGGAGTACCAGCAGGAGGTAACCCCAGTGTGGAGTCACTGCAGGGGGCAGCCTGATGGGGCTGCTCTCAGGGCGGGGGTGGGGGGGGTGGGGGGAGAGGCTCAGAGGCCTCTGCAGAGCAGGAGGTGCTAGCCCTGGCTTGTCAGCCCAGCGTCCCCCATCCCAACCTGCTCAGCAATCTCTCTGTCCTGCCTCCATGTGTGTTTCTCAAAGCCCTCTATGTCTTGGGGTATCCTCCCAGAAACCTCTGCTGCTGTGAAGCCTCCCTACATGGGAGGAAGATGAGGAAGTTTTGGTACAGGGAGCTGTGTGACCTTGGGCAAGCTATGTAATCCTCTGTCCCTCGGTTTCCTCATTTGCAAAATGGGCATACTAATACCATCATGCCAGCTTCACAGGGACACTGGGAGAAATGAATGAACCAAAAGGGCGGAGGGCAGTACCTGGCCCACAGTAGGCATTTGCAAATTTTATCATCGCTGCTGCTGCGATTATTGCCCCTTCTTTCCCTCATCAGGGAAAGAATATTTCCAAGTTCTCTTGTCCTTCCTTCACCCAGGCTGTGCATCTTGCCTTCTGAAGCTTGCCAGTCCTGGGCAGAGTGCCCACCTCCCTCCATCCCCACTGCCGCTCTTACTTGGCAAGATGGTCTTGTACCGGTCCTTGGAGGCATGACCAGGGATATCCAGGTCTTCAGGGTTGACGAAGTTTGAGGGGATCTTCTGGCAGGGGAAGAAATGAGTGAACAGCTGCTCCCTTTCCCAGCATGCTTTTCTCCCCTTCCTCCCTTTCCTACTAGTGCTGGACCCTGGCCATCCCTTCTTAGCAGGCTAGGGTGGAAAGTAAAAGAGGAGACATGGGGGCAACCTCCTTTCCTGAGCCCCCAGGGTGCAAAGAGTGCCCAGGGTGTCCATGACGGACTGAGGCCAGCTGAGCACCTCTAATACAGAGGACAGACTGATGCAGAAGGGACCCCAAGTTCTTACCAAGAATTCCTCCTCCAGTTGCTTGGGGCTGGGTGGCTGGTGCTGCAGGGCCCAGCAGGTCAGGGGGTGTCCAGCTGTGCGCAGAAAGTGTAGGGTGACCTCCCGGGGTGTGTTCACGGAGCAGATGGGCTCCACGGTGCCCAGGGAGCGCACATCCAGCATCAGAGCCACATTGGAGCCCCGCCTAACGAGCACCCAATAAAAACCGTTTATGTTACAGTTATTATTGTATAGGGTACACTTGAGGAGGCGGCTCCTCGTCAGTGCTCCAGAGGCCTAGTGCATTCGAGGGTTCAGGGCCCTGCTGCATGCTTTTGTCCCTTTGTCAGCCAGATAAGGGCACACGGAAACAACTGCTCTTCCCCGCTGCCACCTCTTCTCCTTCTCAACCTGGCCCCCAGGCTCACACCTACACGCAACCTCTCCCCAGGGACAGCCAGCCAAACCTAGGATTCAAGGTGCAGGCTCAGGGTTGACATGAAACTCTGTGCCCCAGAAACACAAAGAACATGCAAAGGATATGCAAATTAGTATGATCGGGTTTTCTTTCCAGATTGGAGTCCAAAGTAGAGGGTCTCTGGACTCAGCTATCAGACCTGGAGGGGCAGGTGGAGGGAGGGGAGAAGCGAGCCGGGGCCCAGGGCTGGGAAGACCCTCTCCACAGGGAAGACCTCACCTCTCCTGTAGCCGCACATGCTTCTTGGCTGGTGCTTTGGCAGGTGGAGGTTGGGTCATCTTGGCTGCCCCTAAAGATGAGGTCGGCCGCAGTGCTCTGGAGCGCCCCCCACGGGCCTGGACCATGCTGGGGTGGGGCACTGGCCCAAGGGAGGCTCACTCGGCCATGGCCATGACGTCTGCCTGGAAGACAAGGCCCTGCAGCTGCTGGCCTCAGCCTGTCTGGCCAGAAGGAGGCTCCCAAACCCTGTTCCTCAAGAGGTGGCCTCATTTTCAGCCCGAGGACAGGATCTCTTTGGTGGGATCCAGGGCACAGGCCACAGTCTGACTGAGGTTGGAGTAAGGAAAAGATAAAGGGTGGAGTCCTGGATGAAGATAGGAAAGAATCCAGAGGGAGAAGGAGGGAGACCAAAGCGCACAGGGCTCTAAGCTGGGGTCCCGGTGAGAGGAGGCCAGGGAGAAAGGTCAATGGTGGGAACCACACAGAAGGAAGGGACAAAGCTCTCAGAAGCCACCCCTGACTCTAACCAGTGGGACTGCTCCTGAATGAGAAAGCGCACGCCTCTGGCAGTGTTGGAGGCCGTTGGAGACCCAGACCCACCGGGCTGCTGGCCCCTCACATGGTCCTCTCCGAACCGCTGGTAGGTCCACTCCCAAGATAATTTCTGGCTTCTGGGGTCCCCGTCCAGGGAGGTTAGCCTGGGGGTGTTTCCTTCCTCCTCCTGCCCTTCCCCCATCTCCCGCCTCTGTAACCGTCACAGGAAATGGCCTCACCAAGCCCTTGAGCGACAGTGCATGGTGAGGCGACAGCTAGGGGCATGAGTGGGGGCATGGAGGTGATGAAGCCACCTCTTCTGGGGGCAGTCCCCATCTCTCAGAGCCAGGGTCTCAGGTGCTGAGACAGCAGGGTCTAAGTTGCTAAGCCCACAGGGATGGAGGTGAGGGGACAGCGTGGGCCCTTGCAGGTGCGGGTGGTGGAGAGGGCTTCTCCTGCAGCAGGAGGGCTCTTTCACTTAGTTCTCTGCGCTCCCTGTGGCTTCCCTGCCCTCCTGGCTTCAGGGACATCAGGTGTATGGACACCCACTCCCCAGCTGGCACCAAGGGCCCACTCGCCCTCCCACACACCCCCTTCCCCAGGCTGTCCCCACCCTGGGGCACAGCACTCCTGATCCCTGCTTCAGGTACTTACTGAAGCAGCTGTGTTCCCCAGGCTGCCTCTTGCCAGCTGTCTATCTGTCTGTCGGTCTGTCTTTGAGGACTGAGAAGGATTCAGGAAGCCAGTTTCCTCCCTCGGCCCCTCCTCGCTTCCACCCACGCACACCCCGGCTTGCTCGTGCCGCCCTCCCGCGCCTGTGCAGCTGCCACCAGGGGTCGGTGCCTCCTGCCTGTGCCCCTAGAGGCTTCGTGCGATGTCTTGGCACCTTTGCCAGGGGCCAAGGTCCTGTTTCTGGGAACAGGTGAGGGGCTGGGCCTTCCTTGAGCACCAGGTTCCTCTGACTTCTAAACCCTCTTCCCTCCTGCCACACTGCTCCTGTGGGTCCTTGTCACGTCCCATTTCTGTCTGCTTTCTGGGCAGAACTCAGCTGGCCCCTTGCTCCATGCCATCTCACAAAGAACCCCAGGTGGCTCCTCGTCCACCTGACCATGCCAGAGGCTTATTTCCACTCCTGTGCCTCTGCCCAGGGGCCCTCTCCCTGGAAGCCCTTGCTGTTTCATGCCTTGGAACCTCATGGCCAAGAAGAAGCTGCAGCTTCCTAGAGCAGATGTGGTGCAGACCTGGGGTGGGAAGCAGCGGGCAGGAGTCCTTGCTGCATGTGGGAAAGGAGGGCCCCTGGCTGGGCCAGAAGGGCTTCCTCAGGCTCTGAGCCCTGCCCAGCTCTCTGCTCCCTTGGCCTGCACATAGGCCAGCCACCAGGGGAGTGGACCGTAGAGCTGAGTTGGAGGAGAGTCTGGGGCTTCCCCTAGGTCCCCTGCCCCCTCTGGGCCTCCTCCCAGAACCTGACATCCTTTCAGAAGACTTACGAATCATCGACAGGCTCTGGCCCTCCTGCCAGGGGACTCCCATGTCCTCTTCACTACTGGGGCACCTGTGTGCCTGGGGCTTGGGGAGCAGCCCCCAAATCCAAGACGCCAGGGCCCTCCGCCCCTGCCTGGCTCCTCTGGCTGGCCCCTGGAGGCCTGCAGCCCAGCCGCCCCGCGGTTCATGCTGCTGCATCTCCTTAGACCTTGTAACATTCCCAACATCCTTCCTGGCCCCAGCACGCTCCCTCCGCATTCCCTCTCTTCCTCCCACTTCTCTGATTCAGCTGTCAAACGGTGACAGCAAAGAAGACATGATGTACAATAGGCACAGGGGAGGGCACACAGGGGGCGGCAGGGGGCTTCAGCTGACCCTCACAGGAGAACGTTTGAGGTGAAGAACAAGAGTGACCCTTTGGGCTCAGGAGGCCTCCTGCTACCTTCCTTTGCCCTTGGGAGGTGAAGACTCTTTTCTGAGCCTCTCCTTGGCTAACTGATCCTGGGTCCATCTTCCCTGTAGTTGGTGTTCCTCTAAGAATGGGGGGGGGGTCGCCCAAGGAAGGGGGCTAGGTGGAGCTGGGAAGTATTTGGCTGTAGGGCCAGCGTGAGGTGGCAGGAGCAGGAGCCTGGGAATCCCTAGGTCGCTGTGGGCAATGATCTGAGGCTGGCCTCTGCCTTGACCTCCCCATGTGGGTCAGTGTTTCTTCTGGTCAGTGGTGTGGGCCCTGGAGTAAAGGAGGGGGCAGGAGGGGATTGGAAAGAGGGCCCCCGCTCTGGGCCGACTGTTGATTATGATCAAGAACAGGAAGCTAGGATACCACAGGGGTGGGGGAGGAGGAAGTGGGCCAAGTCTCCCCTCCACTGGCTTGCCCAGTGCCCCCGGGTTTCCATGCCTGAGCCCTGTTGGCTCTGAGCACATCCCTGACCCCTCAGAGGCTAGGGCCGGCAGAGGTCCAAGTGGTTCAAGGAAGCCAGGAGCCTGGAGATGAGGAAGGGGGTTGATACAAGGGGTGGGTGTAATGCTGGACATTGAGCAAGACCCCGGGGCCCTCCCAGTTTCCTTTGGGAGGTGGAGGGGAGAATCACTTCTGGCCTCCTACCCACTCCCTCTCTCTTCCTTTGCTTAGAAACGCCTGGACATCCATGGAGCATGTGGCTCGAGACCCAACCACAGGCCTCTGATGGACAAGATGCTGCCCCAGCCCCTCCCCAGCCTGGCCTGGGAGCCTAGTCCACCCTCTGTGCCCCCCCACCCTGGTGTGAGCTTTGCCCCATCTTGACGCTCCTAAAGTGACTGTCTCTTCACTGCAGACCTTCCCATGCCTGGGGTGGAGCTCTCCCGGGTGGCTTTCCAAATTTCATCACTGAAATTTCTTATTTGTTTTCCTGGGTTGGGATTGAGTTTCCAGCTACCTTCTGCCCCGGAGAATGTGTATACTAATAGCTGGGAGCCGGAAGACCTGCGTGTCATGAGTAAACTAGGGCCCAGTGCTGTGTGACCTTGGGCAAGTTACGAAGGCTCCCTGTGTCTCCGACTCCTCCTCAGCTTCCTCCCTTCCCAGGGGGATGATAATAGGGATAATAACCCCATGTGGGCAGATGAAGGGAGACCTGTGAAGTGCTTTTGTTCACAGGAGAGCTCAGGAGTCAGCAGAAGCAAGAGAAGCTGGTGAGGGAAGTGGGCCAGGGAGCCACACTGGGTGGGGGAGAGCTGCGTGGGGGAGGCCATGGAGGCTACGCCTTGCCCCTCACCAGCCTTACATCCTCCAGGGAGAAGGTGTCAGCGCAGCTCAGGGGAGGCTCTGCAGGGAGTAGCTCATAGCAGCCAGAGAGGACAGGGAGGAACTGGCCAGGCTCTCGGGCCAGGCTGGGGAGGGGCTGATGCAGGGCGAGGACACGTGTCTCGTCCCATCTGAGACTTGTGGTCCGTCTGGCTGCACACACAGTTACCACTTGGCTCTCCAGTCTGTCTCCTCCAGTCACTCCTGATTCCTGGGGCTGTGAACCCTGACTCCCATGCTCAGTGTGAGAGCCCCTGGGGGACGGGATACACCAGCAACTCCCAGAAACCCCTGTTCTATAAAATCCAAGGGGGCATCTTGGGGAAGGGTCAGCTGCTGGGGGCCAGGACTGCTGGGCCTCACATCTGTCCTGTTCCTCTCCTTAACTGCCCTACTAGCTCCTCTCTGGACAAGCCCTTAGATCCTAGGTGGCTCTTCCTGAGGAAGCCGACTTGTTCTGCCCTGACTCGGCGGGCCCAGGCTCGTTGGGGAGACAGACACCGAGGTCTTGGAGCAGGAGGCAGGGATACACCAGACACACGGTGAGTGGGGCAGAGGAGTGCTGGGCGGCCCCCTGGGCTAGCCTCCAGGGAGGCCCACAGGGCATGTCCCAGGCTGCCCCTCTGTGCCAGCCACCTCAAATGCCATCACCCACTCCAACCCCATTTCCCTCCTGCTACCATTTGAGTGCCATGCTGGTACAGGGGACTTTTCCATACCCTTCAGCCCTGGCTGAGAGGATCAGCTCAGCATGGAGGAAACCAGGGCCAGCCTGCTGGGCGTTCCAGGAAAGACCCCAATTCCTCTCCTGTCGCTGGGACCCTGGCAGGAGAACGTTAGGGCAGAGGAAAGTCCCTCCCTGTCTCCAAGCTCAGAGTCAGAGAAATGGACATCTGCTCTACAGCGTGGCCCTTTCCTCGCAGGGGCTCTCCTGTCGGCCTCCCCCTGGGTGTTGTTTCTGGACACCCCCTCGTGTGTCCATTCAGACAGGCGTGAGCTCCCTCCTGATACACCTGTGCACACTTGAACACACACTGTTGGGGCACACCCCTGCCCAGGCCCCCAGCCCCTGCTGTCTCTCCACAGCTGCACCTAGGCCTCCCCCTTCCCCGGCGACCTTCCCCAGAACGTGGGAGGGACAGTGGGCGACTTGTCCTCTCCTGCCTGGTGATTATCTTCCTCCAGCGTGGGGGATGCCCAAGGCCTGGCTTCGGGTTGTGGGAGAGCAGAGGAGGGGCCGGAAGAGCTGCCTGGGACAGCTGCAGGGAGAGACAAGGCCAATTCACATTTGGGAGCCCAGACAGCAGGACCTGCCACTGGCCCTCTTCTGCCTCTTTCCAGAATGAACTGGTAAGGTGCCTTGAGACCTTGGGAGGACCCTCGGGGTTCTCTAGGGAGAGGATGTGGGTTTGTCTGTGGGGGTGGCTGTTGGGGAAGAGGTACAGCCCTGTGGTTCTTTTTTGCTGAATGGAGAGGCTTGGTCTTGGGGGTAGGCGGTGCTGATTCTTATCTGTCAGAAACTTTCTGTACTCTCTCTGGAGCCCCCCTCCCTTCCCAAAGCTGCCCCTGGCTGGGTTGGGGGCTGGCAGCTGGGCCTACTGTGGTAAAGTGCCTTCTCAAGGTTCTCTCTAGCTTCAGAGTCAGGGCTGTCCCCAACGGGCCTCTCTTTGGTGGGGACTTTGGGACCACCCCGCCCCATGTCCTGCTCTATCTCCTTAGATTCTGAATTAGGATGTTTCCACCCCACCATCTCTCCTGTTTGTGGCTGCTGGTCGGGACAACAGAGTAAGTTGTCCCCAGGTGAGGTGAGATGGGGAAAGGACCAGGGTAAGGAGTTGCCCCACCTCTTGGCCAGAGCGGGACGGGGACCTTTCCCCTTTCTTGTCAGTTTTCCTAGTTGCTAGGTCCCCCACCCCCACCTCTTCTGAAAGAACACACGTGTGCATATGTACACACACACACACACACATGCACACACGCACACAAACACAGCCTGGAAAATCTGATGAGTCTGCAGTACTGAGTTTCCAGGCCCCTGTCCAGGGCCGGGTGGGCGGCTCTGAGGTTTGGGGCTGGGTGGAGGGGGGTGCAGCCCCCAGTGCTGGGCTCTGGTACAGGCCTGTCCTCCCTGCTGGGGCAGGCCCAGGGGAGTCTGGCCCCCGCTCAGAAGATGCCTTGCTGTTGGAGTCTCGGTACCGGCTGCTTTCTGTACACCCCCTCCTGGGCTTGCAGAGTCCTGGGCTCTTCCTGGGGCCCAGCGCCTCTCCTCTGCTCCCTTCCCTCCCACCCGAGCTGACTTGGCACTTGGCGTGGGAGCACCTGGGTGAGCGGTGCCAGGTGAGCAGCTGGCTCTAGGCAGGGTGAAGGGAGCACGAGTGCCAGATTTTTCTAGGCCAGGTCTCAGGCGGGTGCAGCCGGGACTCTGCAGGGCCGGGAGGGGCAGGGGAGCCAGGGTGGGCACGGCTGCCAGAGGTAAGGGAAGTCAGGAGAGGACCCCAGGGACTCTCGTCCTTCCAAGTGAAGAAGAGCGATTGGGGGGCTAGGAACCGGGTTTGCCATCTCTGCTGTACGTAGTCAGACGTCCCAGTCCCAGGTTCAAGTTCAGCTTCTTTCCTTGTACCTGGGATCCTTGATCCCTGGGCTGGACTCTGCCCCTTTCTGAACTTTGACTTCCTCATTTGGGCAGTGGAATGATGATCCATCCCAAGGGCCAGGTGAGCTCTGGATCCACTGTCACAGAGACTCAGGGCTTAAAGGATGAGCTTCTGGGCCTCTGTCCAGTACAGCATAGTGCCACCCGGGTGCCCAGAAAGGGACACATACTCAGCTGACCCATCCACGCAGAGCACAGGAACATACACCCACACCATGTGACCAGGACCTCCCCTCTATCCCCACAGAAGCACAAACATCCTATTAATCTCACGCACATATGAGGGAGTCAAGGGACACGGCCCCTCTTGCAGGGTCAGGGAGAGGGGAAGTTAGCTGTCTCGGCTGCGTGTGACCATCTGCAGGGTTGTTACTCGGTCATTCCTGAGAGCACAGGACATTCTCCTCTCTGGGAGCAGCTGCTGGAGGTGGGCTGGAGGAGGGAGAGACCCAGCAGGGAGGTGGGTTTGGTTACTGTCTGAGAGTTACAGATCTCTTCCACCTTCTGGGCCTAGAACCGGCCTCCTTCCCCTCACAGAGTCTTGCCCAAACTGGGCGGGGTAGAGTCGGGCTCTGGTTGGAGGCAGCCCCTTGCTCTTTGCTGCTGTCTGCTTGAAATTCTGCCCTTGCCCGCCCTCCAGCAGGGCAGGGAAGGGCTTGGTGGGGGCGTGGCTCTCCTCCTGCAGCCTCCCAATCTTCCCTCTGCAGACATCCTTGGGATGAAGCCCCCAGTCCTGTTCGTCCTGCTCCTCTGGCTCCCGGGCTTTCTGGCTGAGGTAAAGTGGGCATGGGGGGCACACCCAGCAAGTGGGCCCCTGTTGTCCAGGGCATGTCCAGGCCTCCACCTCTCGGCAGAGCCCACAGCTGGTCTGCATTAGGCGAGGAGGAAGGCTACTCCTTTCCACTCGGGCCAGCATGGAGGACAGATCACTCCAACTGCCAGGCTGCCTCCCACACCTTGGGCGAGTCTCCAGGGGATGCCCCTCTGCAGTGTGTAGGGGGGTGTCAGACAGGTGGGAGCCTGCTCTCTGATCCTGGCTCTGTCCCCCACTAGCTTTCCCAGAGGCCTCATCGATCCGGAGGCCTCTGCCCATCTCCTCTCCTCTCCTTTCTACAGGAAGACCCATGCCACGTCTTGGAAGGGAGCCCAGATGGGGAGGGTAGAGGTAGGTGTCTGTGGTGTAGGAGGGGGTTCTGGGGGCAAGGGGGAGGGTGAAGGGATGATTTTTCCACATGGGGCCTTGCCCCCCGCTTTCTGCCTTCCCTCCTTCCTTGGGGCCTAGGGGTGTCGGGAGACTCTGAGTGTACCCCTTTCCCCAGGTCCACCCCTGAGCGTGAACATCAGCAGTCAGGGCAGCCCTCCCAGCCTCCTTCTGAGCTGGGCGCCTACCCAGCCAGGTGGGCTTGGACATGTTCTCCACCTCACAAGCCTGAGCTCTCCTGATGGGCAGCAGCTCCAGGCCCACACCAGTGAATCCAGCTTTGAGTTCCAGAACCTGGTGCCAGGGAGTCTCTACCAGCTGGAAGTGACTGCCCTGCAACCCTGTGGAAAGAATGTCACCATCACCCTCATAGCCCGCACTGGTATGGGACCTACAGGCTGAGGGGGCGGGGTCCTTTCCTGGGGTGGAAACAGGAGGTGGCTGCCCTGGAGGGCTGGCTGGGGACAGGAAACCAAAAGAGACAACTTCTCACAGGACCCAGTCTGGCACAGGGACCCATTTAGAAGCACTTACAAGCCCTCTCTTTCCACCTCTGATGCAGCCCCATCAATTGTCCATGGACTGCAGCTCCATGGCTCTGGGAGCCCAGCCAGCCTGGAGGCCTCGTGGGAAGATGCCCCGGGGGAGCAGGATGGTTATCAACTTCTCCTCTACCACCTGGAATCCCATACAGTGGCACATAATGTCTCTGTGTCCCCGGAAACCTCGTCCTACAATTTTGGCAACCTCTTGCCAGGTAGCGAGTATGTTTTAGAGGTTACCACCTGGGCCGGCAATCTCCAAGCGAAGACCAGCATGCACCAGTGGACAGGTGAGGTGGGCACCTGGGTGAGGCCCCGTGTGGCAGCCAGTCTGGGAATAATAGTCCAGTGCCTTGTAAGCAGTGCCATGCCCCAGTGTGGCTGGGCCTCTGGGACCCCAAGTGCCCAAGCTGGCGCCAGCATCTTGCTCTGGGATCCTTCCTCAAGCCTGGCTTTGCTGTACTGTCCTTCCTCCAGAACCCGTGCCTCCAGGTCACCTGGTGCTGCATGCCCTGGACACCTGTGCCCTGCAAGCCTCCTGGAACAGCTCCGAGGGGGCTGCCTGGCTCCACCTAGTGCTCAAAGACCTCCTAGGTGGCTCCAATCTGACTGTAGAGGTCACACGTGGTGTCTCCAATCACACCTTCCTCCACCTGTCTCCGGGCACAGCCTATGAATTGACACTTAGTGCTGCTGCTGGGCCTCATCAGGCCATGGGGCCCAGTGCCACTGAGTGCACCTGTGAGTACCTGGGGGGTTGGGGAGGGATATAGCAGAGACTGCTCAGTTCATCTCCTCGGGTCAAGTAGCCAGAGTACAGCTGGCAGGGGAGCTGGGAGTTGGGAGGCTTGGAGCCTGCACCCGTCCTGTTGACTCGTGGTCGGTGCCCACCTGAGACGATGGCAGTGGAAGTAACAGTTATCATCAGTTGAGCCCCTCTGGGGTGGGCTCTGTGCTTGGCACTTTCTGTGTGTAGTTTTATTTAATCCTCCATGAAGCTATATGTAGGTCTCCTTACCCCGTGTTATCACAGAGGGAACTAAGCTGCAGAGAGAGAAAGCACCCAAGGTCACAGTGTGTAAGAGCTGACCTCACCCTGGGCAGCACGCCTCATTTGCACTCTGAGAGGCGCTGTTGCGCCTTGGTGAAGAGTCGGGGAACCAGGCTGCCTGGGTTCTGAGTTTTGTTTCTGCTGCCTGCTGGCTGCACATCTCTGGATGACTTCCTCACCTTATTTTACTTATTTTATTTTACAGTCCTGGGGATCAAACTCAGGGCCTTGTGCATGCTAAGCAAGTGCTCTACCACTGAGTAGCTCTACCACCCCCAGCCTTTTTAAATTTTTATTTTGAGACAAGCTAAGCTGTCTCTAAGCTGCCAAAGCTGGCCTTGAACTTGCAATCCTCCTGCCTCAGCCTCCCAAATAGCTAGGATTACAAATCTGTGCCCAGTTCCTGTCTGTTTGTTTACTTATTTATGTATTTATATATTTGTGCATGTTTGGGATTAAACCCAGAGTCCTGTGCATGCTAGGCAAATGCTCTACCACTGAGCTATATCCCCAGTGCAGTTTCTTTTCTATTTTTTAAAAAAAATATTTATTTTTTTTAGTTGTAGTTGGCACAATACCTTTATTTTATTTATTTTTATGTGGTGCTGAGGATTGAACCCAGGGCCTTGCATGTGCTAGGTGAGTGCTCTACCACTGAGCCATAACCCCAGCGCCCCCAGGGTACAGATTCTATATCTTTTAAAGGTAGTGAGTATCTTCCTCCTATGTCAAGAGGATTGAGTGTGAGGTTCTGTGTGCAGAGGCCTCAGGAGTGTGCTGGCAGACACACATTGGATCATATGATGTGCTCTTATTTTGCTGTTATTGCTGTCCATGGCCAGATGGTGGCTGCCATATCCTGGTATTCATCCAGATTGTGGCAAATAGGGCTGCCAACATCTGGATGAGATGAGGCCCAGGGTGCATAGAAGCAGCTGGTACAGAGAGAGTGGGGCTTTTCTCACCCACTGCTTAGGTCTTCAGGAGTATTTGCTCCTATCTCCACAGATCCCTCTGCCCCACTGGACCTGGTGCTGACTCCTGTGCCTCCCCAGCTCTGGGCAAGCTGGAAGGCAGGGCTGGGAGCCCGGGATGGCTATGTGCTGAAGTTAAGTGGGCCAGTGGAAAAGAATACCTCTCTGGGCCCTGAGGCCTGCAATGCTACATTCCCAGGGCCCCTCCCCTCAGGACACTATGCTCTAGAGCTGAAGGTTCTGGCTGGGCCCTATGATGCCTGGGCCCAGGCCAGTGCCTGGCTTGATGGTGAGTCTGGACTGGGGGAATAAGGGTGGGGTCCTGCCCAGAGCCATCTGCTTCAAGAGGCAGGTGGAT